TATATTATTTCATATTATTTTAATAATTAATAATTTATTTTTAAATTTCACGATCAATTTTCCAAATATATAAATGTCTATTCCATGATTTCAATAGAAAATTTAAAAATTGTGAATTTAGAAGAATATTATTTTAATAAAAAAAAAACCATTGATAAATTTTTCCTCACTAAGATTCAATCATTTCAATTAACTCAGCATAACTTTTTTTTCTTCTTTCACAAATATCTATTTTGAAATTCGTATTTTCACCAACAATGAATTACTTTTTCGCTCGTTATTTGTTAATTTGTTTTTATATGTATCGCATTTTTCTTTTTTTGTCGTGACAAAATTAAGTTTTATAATGTTCTATATAATTATAACAAAAAGACATTTAATTGATTTATTTGGTTAAAATACTATTTAAGTGGGAAACGATATTTGAAATAAAATATTATCGATTTTAAAGATAAATAAATATTTTGTTGTATTTTTTTGTATTTTTTTTTTTTTTTTTTTTTTTACAATAATGTTGTATTTCAAACGATCAGCTGTCTCGATCGTAATTGATCCGTACTCGTGACGTACACTATGCGATGATCACAAACAAGGATCACTACTGTTCCTTCCTTTTTGTTTTTCCTTTTGATTTTATAAAACAATCAACTTTGTAAAAAGACGAATCGATTGAACTAAAACTGATATAACTACTCGTCAATCAAAAGGATTTAGAACGTATTGCAAATACCATTTGTTACGAGAACTGCCTCACAAAATAGTAATCAAGTTTCGAATTTAAAAGCTTGTCAATCGAAAGGATGACATTATTTATCTTTAGTTTCGAAATGAACTTTGTAAGATTAAAAAAGAAAAAAAGAAAAAAAGAAAAAAAAATAATCAATTAGGAGAAATCTTTAAAAATTTGTAATATCAACTACGATTAAGTATTTATACCTTTTTAAAATAAATATAGTACTTATATATCATTTATAGTAGTATTTTTCGATAATAATTTGACAGATATGCATGATTGTATATTTCTATAAAAAAAAAAAAAATGAAAAAATGAAAAAAAATAAAAACAAAAACAAACAAACAAACAAAACAAATATTAAATGCATAGGTAGATGTAACGAATGATCGAGATACAATTTAAACGAGCATTATCGTACATATACAAACCATTAAGATTATCGTATTTAATTACTTCCCAATGTCAATATTAATTAAATTAATTTGTTTCGTCGTCGTTGTCGTCATCGTCATCGTCGTCGTCGTCGTCGTCGTCGTCGTCGTCGTCGTCGTCGTCGTCGTCGTCGTTATTGTTGACGTTTCCTCTAGATACATTACTAGTAGCAATTATTCAAAACAATATCAGTGTCCTTGAAAATGTAATCTTCTTCTTACTTCGACAAAATTTTATGAAAAGCATTGTTCCTGTTAAATTCTCAAAGAGAAAGAAATAAATAAAGAAGAAGATATAGATAGGGATAGAGATAGGGATGGAAATAAAAATAGATAGATAGATAGAGAGAGAGAGAGAGAGAGAGAGAGAGAGAGACGGAGATGTTGTCCAAGATAACACTGTCGTATTCTTTCTCATTCTTTCAATATTTCATTATACTATATTAACTTGCAATTCGAATGCAAATAAATTTCTATTTCCATAAAGGAATAAGAATTTTTCAATGGATCTATTAAACGTAGAATATCTATAAAACGTAGATATATTTATCTATCTTCGTCTCTCCTCTCTCTCTCTCCCTCTCTCTCTCTCTCTCTCTCTCTCTTTCTCTTTCTCTTTCTCTCGTATATTTTACCGTCACGCGCACGCGTCATCTCTATTCTACGTCTTCTATCTCATTCTTCACCATATCGCCATATCTTTTCGATCTTAGAGGAAGAGAATTCAAAAGCCGTGCCTTACGCCGCGCCGTGAACTTTATCGCTATCGATCTTCTCTGAAATGGAAATTTTCGACTAAGAAGGGAAGAAGGTAACTGACTGAACGAGAAAGAGAAAGAGAGAAAGGATTCAAGGCGGAAGCGTGTGAAGGCGAATGAGCAAAGCGAGTGGAGAGGATCGTTTCATAGTCAAGCTGAAAGAGAGAGAAAGAGAGAAAGAGAGAAAGAGAGAGAGAGAGAGAGAGAGAAAGAGAGAGAGAGAAAGGTAGAGATCGAACATCGAGATTGCTAAGGCTCTTGACGAGCGTAAGGTAAAAAGCGATATAAGAACTCTATTTTATAATGAAAAAAGGAACAAAAAGAAGGGAGAAAAGAAAAAAAAAAAAAAAAAGAAATATCTTCTTTAATCTCGATAATTGTCATTCGATCGTATCGTTAATCAAACATGGATTATATGAGAAATTAAACGGGATTTCAAAGAAGAAGAGGATACTTCTTTTCTGATCATAATATCTTCTATGAGATTTTGTTTCCGAACAAATGAAAAAAAAAAAAGAAAGAGAGGAAAAAAAAGAAGAAAGTAAAGAAAAAAAAATTAACAGAAGAAATCCAATGTTCTTATTAATAAATACGACGATTAAAGCGTAAAATCCTTTATACTCGATAATATAAATTCTTGAATTATATGGTGAATCGAATTGGAATTATAGAAGGAATTAAATTGGATTCCTTCAAAGATACTTTTTTTTTCTTTAAGATTATAGTATCTAAATATCGTTTTTAAAGAAAAACAGATAAGTAGAAATCCAATATTTTTGTTAATAAATTCGATAAGAGAAGCGTAAAATCCTTTAAACCTCGTAATAATAATAGTAATAATAAACCACATTTATATGAGAAATTAAATGGGGATTTTGTAAGATATTAAATGGGATTTCGAAGAAAAATTAAAACTGTAAAAACTATTTTATTCTTTAAGATCATTGACTTTTAATCTTTTTTCTAGATTTATCGTATTATCATCTTATATCGAAATTTTGTTATCGAGAAAAACAGAAGAAGGAAATCCGATCTTTTTTTTAATAAATTTCATAAGAATCATAAAATCGTTTAAATTCGATAATAATCGTTCTTCGATAATATGAGTAATCAAATGGGATATTAAATGGAATTTTATATAAGATATTTTTTTTTTTTCTTCTAAGATTACAGTTTTTAAATTTCATTCTTAGAGAAAAACAGAAAGAGAAAAAAAATTTCTTGATATTTATAATTAATTTTAATGAATCAATATGATAGGAAATTTAATTATACAGAAATACAATGATTGAACAAAAGTATATGTATTATTTATCAATAAACATATATGTAGTTGTGCCTTTAAGAAAAAATGATTTATATATAGATATATATATATATATATATATATATATATATATATATATATATATAAATTAAGAAAAGTTTTTTTTTTCTTATACATATCTATCACAAAATTATAACCATTAAACGGTAATAAAAATCGTGACATTTAATTATTTCTAAGTAAATAAATCAATCTATGTACATTTATTTCATTTGTCAAAAAAATAAATATTATATAATAAATATTAATAAATAATATATATATATATATATATATATATATTATATATGTTGTGTATATACACAACAATATATAATATATATGGTTACATAAACGAAAAATGAGAAATTTCTGAGGAAATAGTATTTCTATAAAAGATTTTTAGAAAGTAGCAATTTCTTCGGTAAATAAAATACACACACAGTCATGTTTATATATATATATATATATATATATATATATATATATATATATAATATATATAATGGTGTGTATCTTGACGAAAAGAAATCACGATGGATAAATAGATAGGTAGATAGATAGATAGAGAGAGATAGAGAGAGAGAGGGAGAGAGAGAAAGAGAGAGAAAACTAGTAGTGTTTTTTATTTTCTTTTTTCTTTTTTTTTTTCTTTTTTCGAAAGAAACGGACGAAAATCTTTTTCGAAATCGGGCAATTCGCAGGCATCGACGAAGGTCTTAACAAAAAATAGAAAAGGATTCTGAATAGAATGAAAAGGTCGACAGGGGTCCTTCTCGCGTAACGTTCAAAGCCCGACAAAATTTTCGGTCTCTATGAGAGTTCTCTTCTTAGAAGACGTTTTACCGAGTTCATTTCGTAGGAACGTCGTAGAGAGGACGCGGTATCCTTCCAATATCGTACTAGGAAATCGAATCGAAGCAGAGAACGATGTAAGCGAACCGGCAAATCAGCGAAATGATTGTGCTCGAATACGAGAAAGTTTCGGTTTATCCTATCTCTAGTTTTACTTTGACTTTAGTAATAAATTAATGTTCTATGTAAAAATTAGAACATTCACCAACATTTAACACTCAAAACCATTATTTGTAACTTTTTTATCGCGTAGGTGAAAGAAATTTTTGCAATTTTTTGTCGGACGTAAAAAAGGAAAGAAAAAAAAAAAAAGAAGTTACATTCCTTGCTTGAAGCAATTTCGATACGATCAATTATAACGAATTGTACGATTAAATTAATAACAAGTTAATACATTGATCAATTTCATTTCATTTCTATTAAAATTATTTAGAATTATCTGTACGATTAATAATATGTACGATCACGTACAATGATAAATGATATATAAATATTATTTATAATTAATATGTAACTGTTTATAGATTGAACAATAATTTCTTGATTTTACGTGAATTTTTATACACGGTTATATAATACAATGTCCAAAAAATTGTATATATATATATATATATATATATATATATATATAATGATATAATATAATGTCATATAATAATATTTTTTGATCTTATAATAAAGATATATAATATCTGAAATATATAATAAAATTGTAATTTATCGGTCGAACGATGACAAATGACGTTAAATAACAAAACAAAAAAAGAAGAAAAAAAAGGAAATAAATTACACGAAGAAAAATTACTATAAAACGATCGACGAATATAAAAGTGTTAATTTAAATAAAATCAAATTTTTATTTAATCGTATCATTAATATTCATTATTAACGAATCACTATTCATTTCTTTTCAGAATGTGCATCGAAAAGCGGTGGTTCGGTGGTCGAGCATCATCCTTCCTCTTACTGGGAGCAACCATTTAGTCAACCATATTTTGATAACACGACCAAAAGGGAAACAACAACAACGGTCGGCCAAACCGCTTACTTATATTGCAGAGTACGCAATCTCGGCGATCGTGCTGTAAGTTTTCAATCCCATCACAATCTTTTTATATTTTTATTTATCTCTTGGCAAAAGAAAAACAAAAAGAAAAACAAAAAAAAACAAAAAAAAAAGGAAAAAAAAGAAAAAAGAAACAATTCAATTTTATCAAAGAAATCGACTATATATATATATATACGCATATTATTCACTTAATAATTGCCATTATTTTAATAATATATAATAATACATAAATTGCCTTTATATTAATAAATGCCATTATATTAATTGCTATAAATTTAATATAAATTTAACACGCTTAGATACACTTAAGTAGTATGACTCATTAGTATCTTATACGTATATTTTTAATTTCATTGAAAAGCAAACCCTTAAATATCTCGATTTGAAGATAAATGCACTTAGGCCACTTTCAAAATAAATGGTTCATATATATATATATATATATATATATATATATATATATATATATACATATATATATTATTAAAGTGAAACGATTTGAAAAGATTATTTTCTCGAATAGAATCATTGAAAATTGCGATATATAAGATAGAATAGACATAGAAAAAATTCAAAATTTTCTTAATGAAAATTTATATTCGAACATATATCTATATATCCATACATATATACGTAAATATATATGAATTTGTTTGATTAGAAAGAAATATTTTCTATTCTTTTATCTTTTAAAAATTTATGTATTGTTCTAAAGTAAATGCATGTATGATCTCACAATAATCCTCTCTCTCTCTCTCTCTCTCTCTCTCTCTCTCTCTCTCTATCTCTCTCTCTCTCTATCTCTCTCTCTATGAATTCATATTTCGTATTTCGCTTTAATATAAAAGACCTTCTTTTTCTTTCTCTTTTTTCCTGTCTCTCTCTCTCTCTCTCTCTCTCTCTCTCTCTCTCTCTCTCTCTCTCTCTCTCTCGCTTGATCCTGTAAGAAAATTAACCGTCACGATAATCTATCTGTCTGATTAATTATTTATAGGATCTTGTTTAAGATAAGATAATCGTTAAGTTCTAACGACGATAATCTTGTACGTTTACTCGAGATCGGGAAATCGGGTACACTTCTGACATAATTTCGCGGATCGGTGAATCGTAGGTGTGACAGAGCTTCGACAAAGAGCTAAATTCGCACACAGAGAGAAAGACAAAGACAGAGATAGACAGAGAGAGACAGAGAGAGAGAGAGAGACAGAGAGAGAGAGAGAGAGAGAGAGAGTGAGAGTGAGAGAGAAGAACAGCTCGGCATCACGCGTTATCGCTTGAACTCATGCATCAAGCTCGGTGACGCGCCAGGAAGCTGTCGTGCTCCAATCACCGATCGTAATCGGCGATAAATCAAATTTCGCTAACGTCCACTCGATACGTGGACACACGTAGAAACACACAAACACAATAGAAACAGATATAGAAACTATCTGAGCAGTTAAGAAAATACGTTTATTATAGTCTAAATAAATTTGTGATCGTTAATATATTTTAAAATGAATTTATTTTATCAATTTAGAAAAATGATTAGATTAAAGTGATTAATTAAAATCGTTATAAAAATCTTATATCCCGAGATACGGTCAAATACTTACTTAAGAAATTTTGAATTCTTCTATAACTCAATTATTTTTGTCTTTTCTTTTTCTCTTTTTTTTTTTCTTTTTTCTCTTTTTTTTTTCTTTTCTTTTTTTCTTTTCTTTTTTTCGTATCTGATAACACGAGTAAATATTTAAGGAGGAAAGAGATTTTTTTCCGAGATAATATAAATGTTTACTTTGAAATCGATTGAATTATTGGATAAAACATTTTTCAAAGATTAAAAATTTTTTTTCTATTTCTCTTCGATCGATTATTTTTAATTATATTAATTTATAGATTCGAAGATTAAATATTGTCAATTATTAATTTCATTTATTATCGCTTATAACAATACATTTTATATTAATATTATATTAAAGTAATATATTGTATCAATATTGTAAAATGAATATACTACAAATAGAGAAAACGAGAGAAAGAGAGAGAGAGAGAGAGAGAGAGAGAGAGAGAGAGAGAGAGATGGAAGGAAGAGAAGAAAGTAATTATTAAACGATATAATATAATCTATACTATACTGTATATTATAACTTTAATAATGTCTATAAATTAAATAATACATTAAAATAGTATAGTATATCTATCACTATATTATGTTATACTATAGTTTAATTATATACCTATAATACACTATTAACAATTATCAGGTTATACTTGAAAACAATCTCGTTGACAATCAAATATTGTGGAAACATTTGATTTTTCCTCACGACGAGAAGGGGATTAATTGGAAAGAAGAAAATAAAAGAACAGAAAAATAAACGAAAGATAAAGCAAAAAAAAAAAAAAGAAAAGAAGAAAAAAAAAGAGAAAAGAAAAAAAGAGAAAACACAAAAAAAAACAGAACGTGACTTCAAACTGTCAGATGGGACGCTATAGATGGTTAATCCTTGCAAAACCCAACGAAAATCCTTTTGACGGGAGGCAAAGGGTGCAAGGGTGGTAACACTTTCCAATTCTCGTCAGAGAAAAACATCAGTGTTCGCGTGAACTACGTCGAGAAACGGATAGGAAATCGCGCTCGCAATCGTCGTGTATCGTCCGATAAACGTTCTCTGTTGACTGTTTTCCTTTTTTTTTTTTTCGGTGGTTTCTCTTCTCTTTTTTTTTCCTTTTCTTTTTCTTTCTTTTTTTTTTTTTTTTTATTCTCTTTTTCTTTCACTTTTCTGCAATTTCGCTCTCGCACTCGTTTCCAACTCGACGTAGAATGGCCGTCGTTCTCTCGTTGCGGTCGTTTTATTGCGCATCGTCGTCGTTCGTCTCCTATGCTGAATTTTCATCGCCCGAACGGTAGCTCAGGGTGCGAGCAAAAAAAAACTTTTTCGTTTGTATTTGAGAATTTGTAGTTTTTGGTTCGGAGGAGATAGAAAAAAAAAAAAAAAGAAAAAAAAATGAAAACAAAAAAGGAAAAATACTCCAATAAGCCCGTACGAATTGATCATACTTTGTTAATGGAAATACGTTCGAAGTTTTAATGAAATTATTATAAAAAGTTATTATATTTTATTTTTTTTTTCGTTTTTCTTTTTTTTTTTACTTATACTTAACACGGACATAAATATAATATAAAATATTTATCCTGATATATGAAATATTTATATTTATACAAGCTAATAGTAAATGTTAATTAATACATTTTTATTTTATATATCGCTTATGAAAATATATATATATATATATATATATATATATATATATATATAGATATAGATAGATAGATATATGTATATAATTATATATAAAATTTATATTTTGATTTTGTATTATTGATAAATATTAAATAATTAAAATTATTATGAATTTATCAATTATTATGAAACATTTTTCGTTTCTTTCTTTTGACAATATTATTATTATAATTATTTTTAATTTTTCGTTCGAAAAAGAGAAGATGAAAGAACCATTAGAAGTTTGAACAAAATTACTATGATAATTATTATTGTTCCTGTATCGTTACTTATTAAAAAAAAAAAAAATTATATACTTATATGTATATATATATATATATATATTATATGTATGTTAAAAATTATAATATAAATTATATACGGTATTAGAAACAAATTATTACGTATAAGAATTATTTTATGTTACTTGTTCTCATAATATTGTTTTTCTCTTCTTTTTTTTTTTTTTTTTTTATCTTTTCCGACAGGTTTCATGGATAAGAAAGCGAGATCTTCACATACTCACCGTAGGTATTTTAACTTACACGAACGATCAACGCTTCCAATCGTTGCACGGCGATGGAAGCGACGAATGGACCCTGAAAATTAGTTCACCGCAAGTCAGAGACAGCGGGACCTACGAATGCCAAGTTTCGACGGAACCGAAAATCAGTCAAGCATTTAACTTGAGCGTAGTGGGCAAGTATATTTCTTCAAAATTTTATCCTACAAATATATTCCGAAAGATGAATAAAATCAATAATATGAGATTCGACAGAAAAAAATTCGACCTTCGTTCCCTATAAATTTCTATATTTTTTCTGTATGTTATACGATAGTCAACAACGATGTTTATTAAATTAAAAAAGATATCTCTATATGCACACACACACACACATATATATATATACATACATGAATATGTATATATATATATATATATATATATATATATAATATACATATGTACTAGTGATGGCGGCAAGTTACAATGCCGCATTTCGTATAGCTTACCTCTAGCTCTAAATCAATTATCGCTCGGTCCCACCTCTCACGATATAAACCGCATGTATACTGATTTTAGTACGCAGTAGAGTTAAATTCACTATCTATATAAATATATATATATATATATATATATATATATATATACACACACACGTATATATAATATATATATATAATATATGTATATGTATATATATGTACTTGTATACGTTATTTCGGCAGTGTCGAAAGCGAAAATCAATGGCAATTCGGAATTGTACATCAAAAGTGGAAGCGACATAAACCTGACTTGCATCGTACTCCAAACACCAGAGCCGCCGTCCTTTATTTATTGGTGAGTCTATATTAATAATTTCTATTTCGAAACAATTTTATCGAACTATAAATCTTCGAAAATAAATTATATAGAACGTAGGACCATAGATATGTCGCGGAATTGTATTTTGGGTTTGTATGTCTCATGTCGTTAAAAGGAAAAAAAAAAAAATAAATAAAAAGGAAAAAAAGAAGTTGAACCATTTAACACAATCCATTATTTTCTATGACGTTAATTTGTTTTCTTTTTTTTTTTCCCCTTTTTTCTTTCCTTTTTTCTTCTTTTTTTCTTTGCACCTGTTTCTCTTTCCTTTTTGTTTTTTTTTCTTTCTCTTTTTTAACGTACAACGACGGCTGATCGCAAATTTTGTGCAGTGAAAAATTTTTTCCTTTTCTTTTCTTTTTTTCTTTCTTCCTTTTTCTTTCTCTCTTACGTCGAACGAATCGATATCATTGAAAATACAGCACATACGAATGTTAGATCAATATCTTCGTGAAATTAATATTATTTTTATATTATCAATACGAGACATTTTTTTTACTTTATCAATGCGGATATTCAATTGTTTCATTTCTCGTTACCGCCGATAGAACAAATTTCGTTGAAAATTAAATTTAATTGGTTACTTTTTAACCATTGAATTTTTTCTTCTGTATTTTTTTTTTTTCTTTTTTTTTTTCCTTTTATATCTTTGCCAACATAGAAGATCCCAATTCGTCGCAATTTCGCGAATTCCAAATAGATCCCGGCACACCTTTCATACTTATGCATATAATAATACGGAGATGTCACTTCAAAGGAATATTTCCTGACAATGCAACTACTGCGGCAAATATTGGGTCGTCTGGAAAGTTCGTGACGAATAGTAACTAAGCTTTACTAAATGTTCGTGGAACCGTGCGCGTCCAACAGTTTACGACAAATTTAATATAACTGATATTTCGCAAAGTTTATAGTGTTGGTCATTATCGATCGGTGTTTCGATTACCAAATCACCGTCAATGTTGGAAAGTTTTCCCAAGGGTTTCCGATTATCGAAGACCAAAATCCCTAACTTCGAACTTAACTTAATCACTTTATAAGAATTATTTTCGATTAATGGATCGTCTACGTGAAAATAGTAAGATATCTTTATTATCGTATGTGTTTTTCACTTTGATTTGATCTGTTGACAAAAAGAGAGAAATAAAATAAAAAAAAAGAAAAAAAAAAGAAAAAAAAAAGAAAGAAAAAAGAAGAAAGAGAAAAGGAAAAAGAAATATCAAGTATCAAAAATATATTTTAATGTATTTAAATGTCTTTCATCTTGAACGATATGTGAAATTAAATAAAGAGAAGGAAAAGAAAAAGAAATAAAAGGAAAAACAATTTCACAGAGATAACTCGATTAAATGTCTTTAATGTTTAAGATATATGCACAAAGCTAATAAAGCGTTTTCATTTATATAATATATACTTATCGGTTAAAAAGAATATAAAATTTTTTTTTTTTGAAGATTTGTTAAAAAAAAAAAGAAGAAATATTTACAATTCACTCGTACATATATATCGTTTATTTATTTATTTATTTATTTTTCTTTTTTTTAATTTTATTTTCATTTTTTCCCTTTTCTCTTTTTTATTCTTTCTTTAAACAAAGAATGAAATTTCTGTTCACAGGTACAAGGGCGATCATGTAATCAATTATAGTCAAAGGGGTGGTATCAACGTTGTGACGGAAAAACAAACTCGAACCTCGCGTCTTCTAATATCGAAGGCGTTGCCAGCTGATTCTGGAAATTACACGTGTGCCCCGTCAACAGCTGAATCAGCGAGCGTTCTGGTCCACGTTTTGAACGGTGGGTGAGTCTGAGACTCTCTCTCAATCTGGATAGAGTCCTTAAATTACAAAATGCATTTATTCCAATTGTTATCCCATTGAAAGAGACATTTTAAAATGGAAAACAATTCGATATCGACATACATTTTTTTCCTCTCTTTCTCTCTCTCTCTCTATCTATCTCTCTCTCTCCTTTTCCATCCACCCTCCAAACCCTTTCACCAATCTCTCGATCGAATTGTTCTAATACTTCCATCCTATTCATTCATATCGTGTCTCTCGTTAAAGCGACACTACTCGGTCACGCTACTTTCTCTTTTTTCGTCGGATGTTCGTTATTAAAAGAAAAAAAAAAAGAAAAGGAAAGAAAATAAAATACTGAAAAAGAAGAACAATTTTTTTTAAATGATCTATATATATATATATATATATACGCACACACGAATCATGTCGACGAACTTTGCTCAACAATATCCACTATTCGATATCCATAACTATCGAAGGTCTCTATTCAACGATGTTCGACAAAAGCAGCAGAGACAGTGAAGATATATATATATATATATATATATATATATATATATATATATACACGCAAATACACATGTACTGTGTATGTACATAGAACATTTTTCATCTAGTAGCTAACAATATCGGATAAAAAGTAACCAGTTACCGACGGATTTTACAATAACCCACATAATTTAATTTCGTGGCCACGATAGACGTTCGAGGGACGTTATGTGCTGAATTACTAAAGTGAATTTTATAAAAAATTGAATTCCACATATCTATACTCCTATAATTTTCCCCATTCTCTTTTAGTCCGTTCTAATAATAATACGTAGAAACTAATAATATTAGTTTCTACGTATTATGTATCATTTAGATATTTATTGAATTATATGTCATCGTGTGTTGATGATAATTCTAGATCTCTCTTTTTGTCTCTCTTTCTTTTCGTATCTCTCCTTATCTCTATATGTTCTTTTTTATTTTTCTTTCTTTTTTTTTTTTTTTTTTTTTTTTTTTTTAAAGACATAAGTAAGAGAAACAGATTAAAAGCTAATTGAATTGATCCACGGAATAATGGAATTGATTCTTCAATGATCACATTTTAATTCACTTGATCAACTTGATTTAACATCTGGCATTTGTCATTCATTTGCAGATTATCAATATCTGGAAAACTTTTCTTTATCCGAAAGTAAAATATCACGTGGGAAGATAATTTAAAATTAATCCATCATAACTCGAACCCTTTTTCCAATCTAAAAGGAAAAAAACATATATATATATATATATATATATATATATATATGTATATGTATATACTTAAAATATATTAAATGTGAGTAAAGCTAACAGATTGATGATCTAGTATGAATTAACAATTAGTTTATAATTTATTATCATTTTAACAATCACAGTTCTTTTTTTTCTTTTATATTAGTACCTATAACGTATGTCTGCTTTTAAAATGATATTAAAGGGTTCGATCAAAAAATTTTTAAAACTATTAGTATATATATATATATATATATATATATATATATATATAATAAGCATTATAAACATAATTTACTTATATAAAATATGTAAAAATTATTAGGATTAATGAAACGATAATTTCAGTTTTGTATGAAAATAAAATAAAATTGAATAATACTCACGATTCATAAATGAATACAATTATACGTGTAAATTATAATTTTACATATTGACGTATGTACGTATGAAAATTATTTAATTACGTGAAAATTATCTGATTTCAAGATTGATCAATCGAATAGAAATCGAATAGAAATTAAAAGGATAAACGAAATATATATATATATATATATATATATATATATAAATACGTTTATATATATATATTTATATATATAAGCGTGTATTCAAGAAAGTTACATAACGTCATGGAGAAGTAAATGATTTTTCTTGATATTTTTATAACAGAGAGAAAAGGAATGAGAAATAAATAGAGAAGGCCGGAAAAGGAGAAAGAGAAAGAGAAAGAGAAAGAAAACGAGAGAGACAGAGAGAGAGAGAGAGAGAGAGAAATACAAATAGAAACAGTGAAGGAAATAGAAAAGGGCGGGAGAGAAAAAGATAGATAGATAGATAGAGAGAGAGAGAGAGAGAGAGAGAGAAAGAGAGAGAGAAATAGTAAAGGGCGGTAGAGGAATAGAAATAGATACAGAAAGGGAGAAAGAGAAATGGAGAGGTAGAAAGACCGAGAAAGAGAGAAATAGAAAAGGGCAGGAGAGAAAGAGAGAGAGAGAGAGAGAGAGAGAAAAGAGAGAGAGATAAAGAGAGACAGATAGACAAACAGAAAGAGAGAAAGAAAGAGAGAGACGGACAGACAGAGAGAGTGAGAGAGAGAGAGAGAGAGAGAGGGAGAGAGACAGAAAGAGAATAAGAGAAAAGGGTAAATAGAGAAGAGAATTTACGTCGGTCGTAAATCGTGGAAGCTCTTCGCGAGAGGAGTCAAAGTTGCGACGATAAACCGAACGGTAAAGCTCGTAAATGGCGTCGAGCCTTTGCGAGGACAAGTCAGTGGTCTTTTACTTTTCCCTTTCTTTCTCTCTTATTCTCTCTCTCTCTCTCTCTCTCTCTCACTCTCTCTCACTCTCTTTTTCTCTCATACTCATTCGGGATCTATATCTTCGATCGTAGAACGTTGTTGAAGGCGCTCCCTGCATACAAGCGGCAATAAAGGACGAAACGAAGCACCCACGTTCCTGATTCGAGTTGGGTAATACGCGTGGGTGGGTTCGCAGGGATGTAAGAGGATAGAAAAAGAGTGAACGAATGGGATGGGGGCGTCTAACTGGAACAGTCTAAGAGAGAAGAAACGAAGGAGGACGAATGAGAACGAAAGAGAACGAAGGAAGAAGAAATAAGAGGAATGAGGAATTCGAAGAGGAAGAAGTAGTGAACTTCCTTTATTTCGCAGAAGGCGCATAAGGCGCAGAGGAAATAAATTCTACGAATACGCCTGTTCTTCTTTCTCTCTCTCTCTCTCTCTCTCTCTTTCTTTTTTTCTTATTTTTCTCGTTCTCTTTCTTTTCTTCAAGGATAAATCAGTCGCGAGATATTGTCCCATGCAAATCCTCAACCAGGTGCTTCCGGGTATATCTTTTCTTTCTCTCTCTCTCTCTCTCTCTCACTCTCTCTCTCTCTCTCTATCTCTATCTCTATCTCTATCTCTATTTCTCTTTCTCTTTCTCTCTCAGTTTGTCTTACTTTTACTCTTACCCGTACTATCCTATCTCTTTCCTTCTTTTTCTAGTACATACTCTAATGATAGTAAAATACGTGCAATATATGCGGTAGATAGGAGTAGCTAGATAGGTGTGTATGTAGATATTATATGTCCATATGTATGAATCCAATGAGAAATCGATATTTCGTCGAGACGTATCGCGTTAGTTGTGAGCCCGGACAATACGCTTAGAAAAATATGGTATACCGAAGGAAAAGAAAAAAACAAAGAGAAAAAAAAGGACAAAAAAATGGGAAATCTGAAGAAACGAATAATACTTCTCCCTCAAAGTATGCAATCTTCTTTTGCCTCGTAAATATCCGTGATAGTCGAAGAATTTGCTTTCCTTTTTTTTTTTCTTTCTTTTTTTTATCTTTTTATCCTTTCTTTCTCTCTCTCTCTCTCTCTCTCTCTCTCTCTCTCTCTCTTCTTTCTCAATTTTTATTATGCAATGCACCGGAGGAGATGAGTCGGACGAAATTCGGGGGTTGGGTAGAGAGAACGTGGTGGAGGGGGGTTAGAAAATGGAGAACGAAATCGTATCTCTCACGTTCGATTTGTCGTATTCGAAAATCTATAAAGTCTGGGAGAGATTCTACGTTTTTCAAGGGACGTAGAAAAAACTTATATAGAGAAAAGAGAAATATAGAAAAGGAACGATGGTCGTGCCGTGCATGTCATCTGGGATTTGCTGCACTCACTTACATACATACATATATATATATATATATATATATATATATATATATACATACATATATATATATATATACATATATATATATATATATATATATACATATATATACGTATCTATCCACTTACATATCTATACATTTTCGTCGACTGTCTTCTTGTTCGTTTGAAAAGGAAAACGCGAGGAAAGAAAAAAGACGAATTCTTGAATATCTCTCTCTCTCTCTCTCTCTCTCTCTCTCTTTCTCTCTCTCTCTCTCTCTCTCTCTCTCTCTTTCTCTCTCTCTCTCTCTCTCTCTCTCTCTTTTCTCTCTCTCTCTCTTCCTCTGAATGAAGAAAAAAAAAATGAAAAAGAAAAAGAGAAAATAAAAAAAGGAAGAAAGGAAGAAAAAGAAGAAAAAAAAAGGAAAGGAAAAAAGAAAAGGAAACTTATACATATATAACACAATGGAAGATCCGATTCCGCGAGACGCTCCATTGAAAGCTCGAACGACTTTATTCCCGTCGAACCGTGATTATCCCCGATTCTAGAACATCGAATAGAAAAGAGTTTCACCCGAGGAACTGATATTCTTCGATATGACGTGTAATACTTCGAGAAAAAGAGATAGACATAGATAGATAGATAGATAGATAGAGATAGAGATAGAGATAGAAATAGAGATAGAGATAGAGAGAGAGAGAGAGAGAGAAAATGAATAAATTTATGTACCGAGACGAGTATCGATCAAATTTACAGCTTGCACAGTAAACGTATATAATGAAAAACAGAAAATATTTCTACGTTGAAATAAAATCAAATCGAATAATTTAAATTACTTTAATGTGTACTAATGTACTTCTCCCAAAGAGAAAAGACAAAGACGAAGAAAAGTCAATTACGGAAAATGTAAGAGAAAGTGAGAGAAAGATAGAGAGAGAGAGAGAGACAGACAGAAAGGGAGAGAGAGAGAGAGAGAGAGAAAGGGAGAGAGGAAAAGAGAGAAAGAAAGAAAAAAGAAATAACAATGGGTATTAAACTTTTACTATTAAATATCGAAATTTTATTTTTTTGT